ATTAAAAGGAGAAAATGATTTTCATCAACACCTATATTTAGATCAGATACTGAATTTGGTTGAACAAATTTGACCATAGGTCAATTGCAATGTTTGTTAGAGCAACTTGAGTGGTATAACATAGCATATGGCAAAAATTCCATTCTAATGATCTGTAATTATTCGGACTAAATTATAATATTGTCAAATCTTATATTCTATTTGGCACAATGTTTTGCAATTGATAAAATTTGGCAAAGTTTTTTCTCTCTCATGATGGGGTCTATAAATAGTATTTTAATTTGACATTTTGGGAAGAAAATAAACAAAATAACATTTACACTACTAACGCATAATTATTAAACTATAACATTTTTTTTAACACTAACATGTCAAAAATTGACTTTCATATTACTATTACAATCAAATGTGACAATTTATTTGAAGGATCATACCTAAAGATAGGTTTCTTTACTTTTAAATTTCGTTATCCCATAATTTTATCTTCTTTAATAGATCCAACATCTAAAGTTGTGGATCATCTAGTATATGCTCCATAGAGTAGCGCTTCATTTTGTTTTGATAGAAAATGTTTTTGAACTTTGAAATTAATGTGTTAATAGTAGTGTTAATAGTGGTAGTAGCGGCGGTGGTAACGTGGTGCAGGTTGTGGCTGGAGATGACGGTGATAGTGGTAGTATCGGAAAGATTTTATTTTGGAAAACATTTTTTACATTTTAAAAATAAAAACCTATTTTCCATCCAAATAAATTTATTTTCTGTTAATGACTCTGAATCCACACACCTAAATGTAGAAAACATTTCCACCCCATCAAACCAAAATTTGTCCATCATATGAATTATACTAAACATAACTTCAAATCTAGCACAATAATAATAATAATAATAATAATAATAATAATAATAATAATAATAATAATAATAATTTTTGCATGACTTGTTGGATTTGAGACTAATTCAATAGAAAGATTTATACGCAAATTGTATATTATACTAGACTATAGGTCATTTTCGAAATTTTAAAACAAAAGTTCAAATCATATAGCAAATGTTGTTCAATACATTTGTGTTCTAAGTAAGACTGGTAGCTAGACATGCTTATCAGTAGATTTAGGTCTAGTCACAAACAAGTAAATCTTTCCATCTCTTAATTCTCTTCCTAAATAGATATTGCACATGTTTTAGCAATCATAGTTTATTTATTTTATGAATTCAATGTTTTTGACCTAGGGCGGCCAAGGATCTCTCAGATGGCTCAACCACTAGATCACATATTACCACCGGCCTTCAAAAAAAAGATTAATGATTGGGACCTCCAAAGTTGGGAACCCCATAACTCTTAAAATGATTTGGACCAATCATGTATTTTTGTTTTTTTTTATTTATTTTTCTTTCCTTTCTAGACCAATCACAGGTGAGTAGGGGTCGTGGGGATTGTGTTTTTTGGGAGTCTGTAGCATTGTTGCAAAAAAAAAAAAAAATTAATGAGGGCCTCATTTTTTTTTTGACACTCTTATTAAAACAAGATCTCATTTTATTGTTTAGTCTAAGATCTCAAAAAATCTTAGGCCCTATTGGCTTCTTGCCAATTCATACTGTGAACTGGATGAATGCAGTTCGGGTCTGTGTGCTCTCCACGGTTTCCATTACGATAATCCGACCATGCATTTTGTAAATTCTTGTATATAGATTATCTATGACAAAAAATTAGAATCAACATATAATTATAATTATGTGATTTTCTTGTATTTATCTTTAAAAAGTTGAACAGTCTATTTTCAAAATCATATTTATTGTCTATTTTTTTAAAAGATAAAATCATATCGCTACAATAATCAGACCAATCTTTTTTCTTTTCTTTTTTTTTCCCTTTCCTTCATCATGAGTGAATTATGCACAATTGATGGGCCCATGAACTACACCCCCAGATCATGTTTGTTTGAGGGACATAACTTTGAGATTTTATTAATAATCTAACACAACAAATAATTTTACGTTTGACTAAAAAAATTGCGGGTTGAATTCATAGTTCATCTAGACATGGTATTCCATATGGGAGAACTATTGAATCTCAAGAGGGGTGAGATACAAAATGCTGGATTAAAGAGATGTTTTGACTAATTGGTTAAATGAAAAAGAAAAAAAATTAATATTTATCACTTCCTTCTTATAATTCTGGTCATCTAAATATGTGATAAGATAAACAATACAAATGAATTGACAATCCGAGAACTAACAATTCTAAGAGTACTAATCTCATTTAATCCAATCTATGACCTTAAGTCAACACAATAAATTGGAGAGAAACCATCTCCTTACACTTATACATAATACACATATTCAAGATTTGAAAAACAGTTCCTTTACATGCATCTAATGCAATCTTGAACTGAATACAACTTTCTCATATGAAGTGAGATCAGCACATATAATCACTTCCGCCTCATATAATAAGATTGTGTTTGATTTTGTGCACGTTGAATTTTTGTTGAGGAAAAAAAAAAATTGTAGAGACCAATAAGTTCAATACCTTTTGTTTTGGACTAAACATGGTTGAGTATTCAACTGATGTTTTCTTAAAAAAACACTCTTATCCATTTAGATCTATTTCAAAAGAACAAAAAGCAATATATATATATATATACTAGTTTACACAGGACCATGCAAGGTGCGAGCTATTATTATAGTATGTTTAAATTTTGTATTTTGATAATTTTTAAAAATTAAAATATTTTCTATGAAATTAAATAGAAGAAATCATTAGATATATGATAGAATTATGTGGTATCATATGTATGATTTTTTGATTTATTATACACCCAATGATGCCAACTCCAATTCTATTACCATATCATTTTGGGTGAATTTGTGAGGCTTTAACATTTTTTTTCCGAATTTATAAAAGAAAATATATGGTGTGTAGTTGTTTTCAATAGATAAATATAAAACAAATACTAGGATAATTCTCCCATCTAAAAAAAAGAATAAAGAAGCAGAAGAAAATACATATATATATACAAATGACTAATTTTATTAATATATAAATCATACTCGCACAACAACTGATCAATTTTATTAATAAATAAATCATTAAGCAAATTAATAATTTTTAATGATATGAAAAAAAAATTCAATTAACCATTTTGTTAATAAATAAATCATTAAGTCAATTAACAATTTTTAATGATATGAGAAATATTTTTTAATAAACAATTTTGATAATTTATTATTGCATAGGAGAATAGTTTTCTTCTTCTTCTTCTTCTTCTTCTTCTTTTCCTCGAGTATTGAATTAAATTTAAATTTATCACAAACGATAGTTGTAATTTTTACTATTATAAGACCGATTCATATTTTAAACAAACTTTATGAGTATACTTGTAATTTGTTAAAAAATAAAAGATTTATATTTCATAATTGATCAATAATGTTTGTGTAATTATGAAAAAAACTTGTTACATAATTGACCAAGAATGTTTGCGTAATTATGAAAAAATCTTCACTCAACATATAGGCTACCATTAGTAAATTAATTATTCAAAATGAAAAGACAGAATTGGAAAGAAAAAAAAAGGGCAAAATGGAGATTTATCAAAATGAAAGGACAATTGTTTTTAATGATATGAGAAATATTTTTTAATAAACAATTTTGATAATTTGTTATTGCATAGGAGAATAGTTTTTTTTTCCCCTTAATATTGTGTTAATTTAAAATTTATAACATACGATAGTTGTAATTTCTACTATTATAAGACCGATTCATATTTTAAACAAACTTTATGAGTATACTTGTAATTTGTTAAAAAATAAAAGATTTATATTTTATAATTGATCAATAATGTTTGTGTAATTACGAAAAAAAAACCTGTTACATAATTGATCAAGAATGTTTGCGTAATTATGAAAAAAATCTTCACTCAATATATAGGCTACCATTAGTAAATTATTCAAAATGAAAGACAAAATTGGAAAGGAAAAAAAAAAGGCAAAATGGAGATTTATCAAAATGAAAGGACAATTGTGCATATGGTAAAATAAAAGGAAAATGGAGGGCAAAATGGAAATAAAATGACAAACCATCCTTAGAAAAGCCATTCTTATATATATAGATATATATTTGTTAATTCTAAACAGTAAGATATTATTTATAAATACATAATTGATCAAGAATGTTTGCGTAATTATGAAAAAAATCTTCACTCAATATATAGGCTACCATTAGTAAATTATTCAAAATGAAAGACAAAATTGGAAAGAAAAAAAAAAAAGGCAAAATGGAGATTTATCAAAATGAAAGGACAATTGTGCATATGGTAAAATAAAAGGAAAATGGAGGGCAAAAAGGAAATAAAATGACAAACCATCCTTAGAAAAGCCATTCTTATATATATAGATATATATTTGTCAATTCTAAACAGTAAGATATTATTTATAAACAAAATAATTACAAATTAATTATAAATTTTAAATGAACACTGAATAATAATTTTCCCAAATATTCACCATGCGTGCACATGATAGATACATGCATGAGAAATACATATACACAAGAACGGAACTAGAGGGTTGAGGGGCTGCCGTAATTTTTTATGTTATATTAATAATCATTAACATAATTTTAAATTAGAATACTTTATGCTTCAAAAATTGCAGTAATTCATACCCTCAAAATTATAAAGGCCAGCACCTTCAAATTATTTACATTATAAAATTTTTAAAGTAAATTTTAAAATTAAAATTTTAAATTGAAAACAAATCAATATTACAAGATCATTAAAAAAAAATAAAAAAATATAAAATAAAAACATGACAGAGAAATCAAACCCGCCAAATCTTAGACCACGTGCTTGTAATTCTTATCAATTCCTTGAAGCTTAGAAAAGCCAGAGTAAAAGCAAAAGCATTCTATTTCTAGTCCAAGCCCTCAAACCTTATTACGTACAAGCAATGCAACTTCCCTCTCTCTCTCTCTCTCTCTCTCTCTCTCTATAAATACACACTAAACATGTATTCTTACAACAACCATAACACAAAACCACAAATCAAACCACTAGTCAAACAATTTGGTTCCAAAAATAGCCCACAACCAAAACCCTAGTTACCATCACAACCCACAAAATGGCCAAGACTCAAAGCACATCCTCATCATCATCATCATCAAGCTCTATGGTCCAAAACATCAAAGACAAGACCTTCTCAAGTATTGGAAGCCTCATCAAGCTCCTCCCAACAGGCACAGTCTTCCTCTTCCAATTCCTCAACCCTGTCTTCACCAACAATGGCACCTGCCACGTCATCCACAAGTACCTCACCGCCGCCCTCATCGGTGTTTGTGGTATCTCTTGCTGCATTTCTACCTTCACTGATAGTTATAAGGGCAGTGATGGGAATACCCACTACGGCATTGCCACCGTGAAGGGCCTCTGGCCCTCCACGGCGACCTCTGGGGTGGACTTATCGGTGTATAAGCTTCGGTTCGGGGACTTTGTTCATGCCTTTTTTGCCTTGATTGTGTTTGCTGTGGTGTCTCTTTTGAATGCAAACACTGTGGATTGTTTCTATCCATCGTTCGAGTCGTCAGAGAAGGTTTTGCTCATGGTGCTGCCGCCGGTTATTGGGTCAGTTTCTGGCTTTGTGTCTACGGTGTTCCCTTACACACGCCATGGCATTGGATATCCTTCAAGCAGCTCTTAGTTCTCTCTATTTCTCTCTATCTACAGTTTGTATGAGGCCGACTAATCAGTCAGAACTAAACAGGTGTTGAGGGAGTTCAGATGCTCTCCTGGTCTCTCTCCTTACTATCCTATTTGTAACGGTAGAAATGCACTTTTAGATGATTCAGCCGTTCAGATTTGACTATTTCAAAAAAAAAAAAAATTTAAAACAAATTGAAATAGTCAGATTTGGACTGTTGAATCATCTTGGAGTGCATCTCTACTACCAGTGCAAGTAGGGAGGTAAGGAGAGAGACCAAAGAGAATCTCAACTTGTGTTGAGGGCTAATTGGTCAGTTTGTGCCTATCTAATCTACCAATTACTCCTTAACGCGTGTTAAGATTACTGCTTGATTAGTAGGTCTATTTAGTAATTTTATTTTTTATTTTTTATTTTTAATATATAACAAGTTTGTTATTATGGATAAATATATCAAATTGTGATGTGTGTTGCTTTTCCTTTCTTTCCAAGTTATTACTACTATTTGTTTGATATTATTAATGTGTTAGGACGGTTAATATTGTGTTAGGCCGGTTAACATTATGTTTGTTTTCAAAATGGGTCATGGATGAGGGGATTAGTAAAGATCTCTAAGAGTTCAGTTTTAAAACTAGCAAATGGATTAGCTTGGAAAAACACCATTTTGCCCATGTGTGTTGTGTGTGTGTGTGTGTTTTTTGTTTTGTTTTTTTGATATTGTCTTCTACAACGGTCCGACATGACCCCGTAAACTGTCTGCTTCAACGGTCCGACATGACCCCGTAAACTGTCTGCTTCAACGGTCCGACATGACCCCGTAAACTGTCTGCTTCAACGGTCCGACATGACCCCGTAAACTGTCTGCTTCAACGGTCCGACATGACCCCGTAAACTGTCTGCTTCAACGGTCCGACATGACCCCGTAAACTGTCTGCTACAACGGTCTGACACGACCATACCGTGTCTCCTATCCTGTTTTTATTTATCAGTTTACTTTCCTGTTTTGTTACTCTCTTCAAACTCAAGTTGGTTAGTTCCTATCCTCCTTGAGTTTGAGGGGGGCTGTTAGTGTGTTAGCTTAGTGTGTTAGCTTTATGTTAGTGGTTTATACTTTATGTATAGTGCAATGTTAGTGCTTTAGATTTTCATCATTACAATTTGTAAATCGTCTCCTATATAAGGAGCCCCTAACCATATGAATACATACAATCTATTCTACCTCTCTATACATTATTCAAACATTATTAATGTGTTAGGACGGTTAATATTGTGTTAGGCCGGTTAACATTATGTTTGTTTTCAAAATGGGTCATGGATGAGGGGATTAGTAAAGATCTCTAAGAGTTCAGTTTTAAAACTAGCAAATGGATTAGCTTGGAAAAACACCATTTTGCCCATGTGTGTTGTGTGTGTGTGTGTGTTTTTTGTTTTGTTTTTTTGATATTACGTCATTTTTTCTTATATATATATATAGTTAAAAAAAATATTTATAAAATATAATTTTTAATATTAAAACATATCAAAAATACCAAAAGGTATTTATGGTATTTCATATAGTTAATCCTCTCATTAAAATATATTACAAACTAAATTTTTCTTAATCTCATCACTAATAATTCCCACATTAATAATCCCACCAAACTTAACTCTGAAAATAAATGGGCCCAATATGTACATATTTTGGATGATGCTCTTCTTAAGTAATGCTTGGATGAAGCTCATCCTCTTCTTTTCTCTCTATCTTTTTGTTCAAAAAAAGAGAGAAGGGTGATGGTGCGGCCGACTAATCTGCCAGTACTGAATCGGTGTTGGGGCTTAATTGGTATGTGTATGCTTGTTTGACCGACCAATCAGTCCCCAACATGTGTTGAGGTTTCAGGCTGATTAATCGGCATAATAGTATTGTTTTGAATATATAATAAGTTTGATATTATTATGCATAAATATAAAGAACCACTACAACTACTCAGAATTTGAAAGCAGTAGTTGAAATTCACTCAAGACTTGGCCCCATAATATAAAATTTAAATATACACCATTGATAAAAAAAAATAAAAAAAATAATGATCATTTTCGGAAAACTTATCAGGTTCCTAGACTTTTCCTTTCATATGAATTAATTGTGTGATGTGTCTTGCTTTTCATTTGGTACTTACTACTACTATTTGTTTTGGGTAAGAAGATGCCTTGTTTTAGATGAAATTGTATTGGTTTCTTGTTGAGGGCTTCAATTAATCCCTTCAATATCAAAATGAAGACAATTAAATGGAAAAGGTGAATGTTTACAAGAAATAAAAAGGTGGAAATGCGAATACAAGGAAAAGAAAAATGGGTAGCAACCTACAAGTTAGCTAGGAAAGTGATGTTATTTTTGACTTGCAAGAATAGTAGAATGCTACTCTCTATCTTCAAACAAAATCAGTTTCAATAACTACCTTTTTTAGTTTTTTTTGTACATCATAGCAACGTCATCATATACTGTATGATTTCATTTGGGGGAAGAGGATAAGGGTTGAGAATAAAATTTCGAATAACATAATATATCAAGTAATATTTTGATAAATTTCACTATCTAAAAGTCAAATTTTCAATATATATATATATATATCAACGATTATCTAAAGGGAGATTTAAATCATGAGTGTAGTCGTGCAAGGCTCCTCCTACCATTTGAACTGGCCAAAAACTCTAATTTAAAGAGAGATTTATTTATAAATCATTTAGTAGGCGCATAACTTAATAAATTTATAAATTTTTTTAATATTTCATCAAGTTTTATATATTTAAATTTATATTTTAATAAGCCATTTTTTCTATAGAATTATTATCTAAACTATTTTATCCTTATAGGTTTTTATTATAATATATATGTATGTATATATATATATATGTAGTAGGAGAGAGAATATCAATTATTAAATATATTTTATTTGTGGTATATATAAAATATTGTATATAGAATATGAAATATTATTCTTAGTATTTTATTTGTCTCAATGTGAGGGATTCACTTAATTAAGGATCTTCCTTCACCATTATTTTGTATTAAGGTCTTGCCATAGAAGAATATTTGAAAGAGAAAGTTAGTTGTAAACCAATAATAGAGATGATGATAGACTTGCAATAAAGATTATGGTAAATTGGTAATGAACAATTATTTTCTTGCCACTGTTATATATAAATCATAATCTCTTCATCGATTTGTGTAGCCACCGGTATTGTGCAGTTTATTCACCGATATTATACTAGCGTTGATTATACACATATTTTTCCAAAAAGGTAGGTCAATATATATGAATTATTTGATGATTTTTTGTATATTATTTGTTACCATATTTGTTGTTTAAACAATCATTTTTTGTTACTATTAAACAATCGGAATAGTCAACTCGTTTTTTTCAATTTTGTTTCATATTTTCATGTTTCGGTGTGAATGTTCACATTGGTATATTTTTTTAAAACTAGTTATATATTAATTGTAAATTATGAACATTCATATTATTTTTTGGTATAATTTTTTTTTTTAAAAAAAAATCAAAATTTAGTTGTATATTTGTTATTTTTGTTAATATGCTTGTTGATTAAACAATTATTTTTGTTACCATTAAACAATCCAAATAGTCAATTTTTACTTTTTTCAATTTTGTTTTATATTTTTACGTTGCAGTGTAAATGTTCACAGTTGGTATGAGTTTATTTTTTTTAAGGCTAGTTGTATGTTAATTGTAAATTGTGAACATTCACATTGTATTTTGGTATGAGTTTTATTTTTTCGAAAGTTAGTTGTTTTTGTTATTATGTTTGTTGGTTGAACAATCATTTTTGTTACCATTGAACAATCAAAATAGTTGATTTTCACTTTTTTCAATTTTGTTTTATGATTTCACGTTGCGGTGTAAATATTCACATTGGTATGAATTTATTTTTTTTTAAGGCTAGTTGTATATTAATTGTAAACTGTGAACATTCACATTATATTTTGGTATGAATTTTATTTTTTCGAAAGTTAATTGTATATTTGTTATTTATTATGAACATACACATTGTACTTTAATATATGTTTTGTTTTTTCAAAAATTAGTTGTATGTTTGTTATTTACTGTCAATATTCACATTGTATTTTAATTTTCGTTCAAATTTTTTATTGCATTATTTTAAAAATTTTCATGTTATAAAAAAGTTAAAAGTTTATAATTTGAGATTTTCTATGTGGAATGAGGGAGATTTTCTGCTTAGAATGAATGAAAGATTTTCTTCATGAAATGATGAACTTTTGTTATTTTTTTATTGTGTATTAATTTTAAAATCGAAACATGTACAAAAAATTAGAAGAGTAATTTGGTCATATTACATTAAATAAGACTTAATAGAATACTAAAAAATAAGATGGGTTACACTTAAAAAGAAGATTTATTAAAAAATGACCCATTTTAAAACTATTTAAAAACCCCACATTCAAAACAAACAAACAAAAATACTAAAACTCCGCTGTTAATATTCATTTTACTCCATTGTGGTTTAACCTTGGAGCACTTTACTTCTTTATGGTTCAAATGTAGGCAGAGAACTCACCTGTGATGTTTTGAGTAAAGTGCTACTAGTTAGTTTTCCATTAAAGATAACATAAGGTGTGCCACACTCTCCCAAATTGAGGTTGGGCAATGCAAAAGTGAAAGTCAAAAATTGAATTAAATGTCAAAAATACCCTCATATTCATTCTATTCTCCAAATTAGGCCAAGTTTGGGAAGACTAAATAAGTGCACTTTTTGACTTTTCTTATATTATGTGTAGTAAAAGTAGAGAGGAGATGTTGATTGATATGATCCAAAAAAGATAAAAAGATGAAATAAGTGCACTTTTTTAGTTTAGCCAAACTTGGCCTAAATCTTAATCATAACCAAACACTAATCCTAATTGCCATCTTTCATCAATAATTTAATTTAATTTAAAATATTATTAAATGAGAAATTGGGATAAAAAATAATAAGTAGATTAAGATAATTTTATGGTAATAAATTAAGGTATTTAGGTTAATTTATGATTTAATTTATTATATATATATATATGTATATCTATGTATATATTTAATTTAAAATGTCATTAAATAATAAATTGGGTTAAAATTAAAAATAAAATTAAGGTAATTTTATAATTTAATTTTATGCTAATAAATTAAGATATTTAGGTTAATTTATATATAAGTATATGTTTAATTTAAAATGTGGTTAAATAATTTAATTTTATGTTAATAAATTAGGGTGTTTAATTGAATTTATGATTTAATTTTCCATATATATATACGTTTATTTTAAAATTTTATTAAATGAGAAATTAGATTAAAAAATTTAAATTAAAACGTAGATTAAGGTAAATTTATGGTTAATAAATTAAAGTGTTTAGGTTAATTTATAATAATTTTATGTTTAATTAAAAAAGTTATTAAATGAAAAATTGGGTTAAAAATAAAAAATAAAAAATAATTT